AGAGTTAACAGCTTCTGAGGAAAGGAAATATCGCTTAAGATTTCAACTATCTTGTCTCCCTCACACCAGCCCCTCCCACTGGAAACACTTGGTGGAAAGTTAATGGTGTGGGAAGCAGTTTTTCAGACTTAATCCTGTTGTATGCGCTTAGGGATCATGGTATTCTTGGAAGGGTGTTTCGTCTGCTTTGAGAACATATCTGACACTTCACTGTCTGGATTTTTATACATACATATAATATGGCTTTATCAAACTATGACTATTAAAATAAGGCTAACAAAATTAAACCAATTCCAGACAAATGTGGCATTCCAATGGTGGATCCATTCCCAGTGGACAAGATTGAAACACATGTGAAAGGAGCAAGAGACGAGCTAGGCAAGCCAAGGGTCGTTGGTGGCCGCCCAGCACTTCAAATGTCCTGGCCCTGGCTGGTCAGTCTACAGTTTGAGAGTGAGCATTTCTGTGGAGGTTCTCTGATTTCTGAGAAGTGGGTCCTAACAGCTGGACACTGTAACTTCAGGTGAGCAAAGTTTTTAACTCTCATGACAACACCACCACAATGGAGTATGCTAGCCTACCAGCTGTGGCAGCCTCTAAATCATTGTTGTTCCCTGACGAGCAAAAGTAGCTTCGTACTACTACTTGGCTCTCAACTGTTCCAAAAGTGTGTATTTTGCCACCTTCTCCTTGCTGCTACATACCTTCTGAACCCCCTTGTTCCCCTACACAAACACATCCTCCTCCTCCTCCTCCATAGATCTTACATTGTGCCACTTACTGGATACTAAAGGTTTAATTCATCTTGGGTATTGGGTGACCTGTGTAATCACCCCACGCTATCAGTGGAAAAATTTTCCTAAAATAACTTCTTCTGGCAATATTAGAGCTCTACACATAATAGTATGGCTAGTCTAGAGTGGTGCTTTTGCCAGCCCAAGCCAAAGAGTTAATTATTACACTATATGTGAGGGTTAACATGCTGTGTACCCTGGTATCTATTCGCTATTCAGTGGAAGTGAGATTATGGCAGTTGCATCAAAATTTCATACAAAAACAATGGGCTGAAATCAAAACTAGATTCCAGTTCCTGCTATTGTGATTAATATCTCTGAAATGGAGTTCCAAGAATCCTGGACTGCTTTTTTTTTTAACAGTAGTGTAAGCATTTCAGAAACCGAAAGTTGATCTTGCAGTTTTTTTTTACAATATGGTAATGTTGGTTTGGTGTGGGATTTTTTTCAGACACTTTTCAAGTCATGCAAATGCTTAAGTCCACTGAAAGCTAATAGTACTTGTACTTCAAAGTCACACAGGTGCTTTTGAAAATTTCATCTATTTTCTTAAGCAGAATTATGCCAGCTTTGTATACAGTGATTTTTTCTTAATTGAACTGAATGTAGTTTCTGTTTTTCCTTGCCCAGTGCTCAGACAGACAGGATATTTCTGGGGAAAACGTATCTGTTGCCAAATATAAAAGGCAACAGCCCTGCCCTTGTGAAAGCTGTGCATGTGCACTATAACTTCAGTGGATTTCCTTCCAGCAATGATATCACTCTCTTGGAACTGGAGAAACCCATCAAACTAGGTACTACCTGGATTCCAGTGTTTGTGAGACCGCTCTAGCTGTGTTTGTTTATGTGGTGCAGCATTGGCCCTTTCCAATGAAAAGGTTCTGATCCAAGACCTGCTGTCTGATAAATATATGTACTAATGCAACTCTGTTCTATTGAGTAATCCTTAGGACACCGCTACTACCTTGATAAACTCCTAGGGAGCCTGATGCAAAACCCAGGGAAGTCCATGTAAAGACTCCTGTCAACTTTGAAGGGCTTTGTCCTAGACTCAGCCTGTGGTGGCATTGGGTGGCTGGTCCTGTCTTTAGGATTTCAGGGTATAAACAGGAGGGCAGATTTCCTGTTTTCCCTAGTCCCATGTCTTCAATTGTTTATACCCATGAATATTCCATTTAGAAGAACCAAGAGTAGGTACACTCATTGCATAATGATGTGTATATAAGAAGTCTGACAGGTACACATCCCTCTTTGTTTGAAGCAAAGTATATGGTTTCTAACCAAGTGTTGGGTTGGGTTTGGTGTTTGTCCAAAAAAACAAAAACCAGAGCCAGCTAGCAGTGTTCAGAATTGAAAGGAACAGGATGTGTGTTTACCACCCACATTCTCTCCTGATACCTTAACTGTCTTTAGAGTCAGACAATATCCATCCCTGGTTAAACATAGACATAGTTTATGAGTAGGGTGCTTAGTATTTTTTTAGGACAATGATATAGCATGGGCAAAAATATATTACTGGAATAGAAATGTGGCATAAACACAATGCCACTAATACTGAAGTTTGAGTGAACGAGCTGCGGACACTGCAGTAAACTTGGTGTGCTGTTGCTAACCTAGACCAAGCCCTGCTGTTCCTCAGTCCATTGAACCACTGTCGTTAGAGGGCGATAAGGAAAATATTCCAGTTGGTGAAAGTGTTTTGTAACTTGCTTGCATGACTGGGTTAACTGACTGACACAGGAATGGGCATTGGCTTGAGTGCTGCAGGAAGCCTAACACATTAAAACCAAGCTGCAGAGTTTGTGTTTATTTCAGAAATCTCCCTTCTGCCCCGCCTCTTCCCCCCCCCCCCCCCCCCGCCTCTCTCTGATAGAGGCAGCAAGCAGGGGGAAGGAACTAATCTCATTACTAGTCGACTATCCAATGTTATGCTTATCAGACAGTTGACTAGTCACTATTTGCGTAGCTTAAGTCAAAATAGCTTATTTTGCAATTGGGCACATCTGCACAGCAGTTATTTTGAAATAGAGTGCTGTTCCTCCAACTTCTTACTCCTCATACAATGACGTTTACGTAAGTCAGAGTAAGAAACCCTTTATTTTGAAATAATAGGCTTGCTGTGTAGACGGAATAACACTGCTGACATAAATGAAATCTGGGTGTCTCAGGGTAAGTGTGAGCCTTTAAAATGGCTTTCTCAGGCATTCAAGCAGTCTGTGTGGGGGGGGAATCTAAACCATACTGGAGCCCATATGGTACTCTGTCAAAGTACTGGGTGGCTTGATTTTGTTTTTTGGAGGGAAGTGGTGAGTAGGAGACAGGGAGTTTGAAAAAACTGGAGAAGGGTTAAATAACTAAAATAAGAAAAGGGAAGCTATACCACATACTCATTTGATTCGCTTCCATGCAGGTGACTCTGTAGCGCTAATTTGCTTACCAGATAGAGATGAGGAAATAAGCATTGATGCAAGATGTTTAACAGCGGGATGGGGAGCAACAGAATCAGGCAGTAAGTACATGTTGTTGTTGTTATTATTATTTATTTTTTTTATTTTTTTTTAAACTGAAGTCCAAAGTCTTGCGAGGACTTAGCTGCTTGTGGCTTTCTTTGTTTCCAATGTCGTCCCATGTGTGACACGCATTTTCCAAACAGAAAAGAAGGTGCAGTGCTGGTCCCAAAAACCTCTCTATTAAAACATAAGGTAGGGAAAAGATAAGAATAAACAGCTGTTCCCAGCTGCTGGAGCAGTGCACAGTGCAGAGACCTCCTCTGGGCCACAGGAAGGCACATGCTGGAGTGAGCAGCCCATAGCCATTCTAGCCTGGTGTGTAGTGGGGTGGCAGCAAGGGGCCCCCCCAGGGCATTTAAGTTTATTGTAAGCAGGACAGGTGATGTTGGAAGGGGCAGCAGCACTGGAAATACCCCTCCCTCAGAAACCCCTGCCAGAAGGGGTGTCCCAGGTAAGCATGGCACCCCCCCTTGTGCACCCCATTCTCCCCAGAGCCTGAACCCTCTTCCCTTCTCCTCTGACCAGCCCCCAAATTCCCTCCCAGAACCTGCTTCCAGGATACTCTGCCCCTGCCCCAGGCCAGAGCCTACATCTGTTCCTGGCCAGAGCCTGCACCCCTCCCCCACCCAAACTCCTCAAAGCCTTAGGCAGGTGGGGGAGGGGGCAAAGTTTGAGTGGGGGAAGGGTGCAGGCTCTGGGCATTCTTGGCGTCATCAAAAATGCTGCAGACTTGCTGCCCCTGGCAGGAAGAGGCAGTAAGTGGGTAGAGCTGGG